GTATATATATATATATATATATATATTTTACATTCCTCAAAACCCATTCCTATATCCAACACGATTAATCTGTCTGTACGTCAATGGTAAAACATAAGAATACACTGACGGATAAGTGTTTTAAAACAGAGAAACTAATATATATTTTTTTATATTGAGAAAATGATGCTATTACTTACCTCCACGGAACTGCCGGATTCTATTAGCATCTACCTGTTGGCTTCCATAGATAAAATTGCCATCGATGTAAGCAGAAACTTGATTAGTATGGTATCTTGGACCTGAACACGTACAGTTGAAAATCAATTAAGGCAAAAAGTTGTCTGGGAGATCATTTTATTTTCTACTGCTTTATTTAAAAAATAATTCATTCTAATATCTGTTTAATTATATCGATAACGATATTGTTGTTAATTTTGTCTAAATTAAGCAGAAATAACAAGTAAAAATTTAATATAAATTAAATAAATATTAGCTATAAATTTATTTATTTGTTTCAGATCATCGCGCAAAACTACATAAGGGTTATATGCATAGAATTTTCCCTACTTTTGAAGTGATAAACTAGATGGAGGACAATTAGTCAACGAAACTACCACCAATTCACAAAATTCTATTGTCGGACCAAATATTGGGATTTGACCGCTACACTTATAGTACAACAACGGCCCCAAATTGTTCAATTCGTTTTAGCGACTCGACTCGCAATCTTCTGGTCGCGGGTTCGAATCCCTGTCCCATTAAACATGCTCGCCCTTTCAGCCGTGGAGCATTATTATGTTATGGTCAATCCCACTATTCGTTGGTAAAAGAATAGCCCAAGAGTTGGCGGTGGGTGGTGATGAATAGCTGTCTTCCCTCTAGTCTTTCACTGCTGAATTAGAGATGACGTTTTAGCAATTGGACGCGAATAATAACATTTAATAACATTTTGTTTTTAAAACATAACGTTTCGGTCTTAGGCCTACATTGTGTGCTATACAAAGTCTTACAGATGGTCACGATTCATAAACAACTATTGTTCGTTTATTAAACTGTGTAGTTTATCTAAGTTTTATATGATTTATGGACAGCTGGACTTTTTTTTTCCGAGCTCAGGATCAGTGAGTTTAGTTTTGTCCATATGCTAACCACGAGGTCAGGCTCGGGTCTCAAAACTGACAGGACTTTTACATAAACACGAATCTTTGTTAGTATTGTTAGACATATTTTTCTTTTCAACTTCTTGTGATGCAGTTTACAGATGTAAGATTGTTCGAATATTTCTGCAGATATAGAATGTCCTACGTGAGAATATGTAAACGTAGCTCACCGAAAGTACATCCGGGTCTTAATCCTGGAAGAGTGCGAGCAAAATCCATGCACTTTCTGTTAAAGAACTTGAAGAAAGGATCATCAGAGGGAATAGTGATGGGCATGCAGTTAGGATGGCGATATTGAGGTGGGAACTTACAACATTCGATATCCAAACGTCTTTCGTCTGTACAAATAAAACATTCATAAATTAGTTAACTTTTGACAACTTCCTTATTTATTATTTTCTAAGATTAACAAGGAAATCTTAATGATTATCTTAACTCCTAAAAATGTTTATCTTGCAGCATTTTAGCTTTGGTTTTAATCCAGGTTTTACAATTTCTTAAAAATGATTTAACTCTAATATTATATTTTTTTAATATCGTGGCATGATTTCATAAAACAGTACTTTATTTTTATGTACACATTTATAAGTCTAGACACAAATTCGTTTTATTAAAAAAAACAATATATATATATATATATAGACTAAAATTTTTAGGCTTAGTATCCACACCTAGCGCTTCATAAAATGTCTTCCAATCAAAATTAAGGTACATGAAAACCTGCAATGCAAATAACACTTGATATGAAATAAGCAGATTGACGTGTCATATCCAAACTACTTGTTACTTATAGGATGCATTGCAATGAACAGTGTATTGAGAAAAGATTCGTATTTCATCAAAATACTTTACACAAAATATATTGGAATTACAACTTATCCTATTCGCCCACAGAAGCATATTTTACTCAAGCTTTTATTACATAAGTACATTCCAATTATTCTTTCTTACGTCGAACCCACGAATAAACGCATCGTAGCTGTGTATTCATAAAACGTGTTGTTCAGGCAAAGATAGCCTGAGAGTTGGTGGTGGGTGCTGTTAACTGTCCGCCTTCCATCTTGTCTATTAGCTCAAAATTATGGTTTGTTTTGATTTATTTTCGTGCAAAGCTACACAAGGTAGTCGTCCCTATTTTTTGAAACAGATTACAGGGGAGGCAGCTAGTCAACAGCACCCGCCACCAACAATTGGACTACTATTTCTGATCGAATCCCTGTCCCACCAAACATGTTCGCCCTTTCAGCCGTGGAGGCGTTATAATGTGACGGTTAATCCCACTATTCCTTAGTAAAAAAGAGTAGCCCCAAGAGTTGGCGGTGGGTGGTGATGACTAGCTGCCTTCCCTCTAGTCTTTCACTGCTAAATTATGGACGGATAACGCAGATAGCCTTCGTGTAGCTTTGCGCGAAATTCAAAACAAACAAACAGCATTGCGCAAAAATTCTAAACCAACAACAATGCAAATACATGCAAAAAAGACAAAAAAAAAAAAGTACGTTCTA